CCAAGGCTTGACCGACTTGTGTTGTCCAGATTGATAAATCGGACAAGAAAGAATAGTGTTGACCGGATTAGTTAAACCAACCAAGGCTTGACCGAGGAAGAAGTCTGGCCAAGTCTGCGTGAATCAGATTTTCATATTACTTATATCATATTTTTTAATATTCTTTTTGAAAAAGAATAGGGATTTGAATAAAGATGATTTTGAACTGGGGATATTCCAATGGGGACATTTATGACTGCGGTCTGTCTTATATGGAATTATTTTATTAAATGTTTTGATGAGGAAATAAGGGTGGCATATCAAGGAGAGGTATACCATGGGATAAGGGTGGCATATTAAGGAAAGGTGTACCTTTGGATATAGGGGTGGCATTGGTATGTGTGATGTGTAATATAACTCTTACTATTATATCCTTTAAGATTACTGTGGTTTGGAATCTTTATTTCTTTGTGACTTAAAGATTTAGAATCAGAATTCTTATTGGAAATCGTAGTCTGGATGTTATTGAGAAGGAAATAACAGGTTTTGGCCTGAGACTTTGAATAACCTTGTTTTAAATGAAAAAGTTTAAAAGTGGCAATATATGAAACCTGGTTAGTTCAAACCTATGTGGGTTTGGAGTATATTACTTGAACAACTAAATGCTTGGCTTTGAAAAGTGAAAAGGTACTGATAATATGTTGTACTTGTTCATATCTTTGTCTTATATATGAAAAGTTGTTTTATAAAAGTTTTGGTGATTCTCACCCTGTAATGACATAAAAAGGAAACTCACTAGACCTTTCGGTCTAACCCTCGTTTTGTGATTTAAATATGTATTGCAGAAGGTGCAGACAGTAAGAGGAAGGGGAAAATATGATATTTTCCTATATGCATATCTGCTGAAAGATTTGTCTATGATATGTATAGTTTTGTTAGACGAACGTTGATTTGTACGAAAATTGTATTTTGAAATTTTGGACTGTGTATTCTGTAATGATAGATTCTTGTACTAAGGGGCCTATGTGGTGTATAAACATGTATTTCTTGTGTATGAAGTATGTGTTACATGCAATGTGTGGTATGAGGTGTTACAATGAGCATCCCTGTGAAAAACGTGGCCTAACGATCCTTTAGATCTTCAGAATTTGAAGCTAGAGGTGTCAACACCACATTCTTGGCATGTCTCGTTACTAGCATTGCTTGGAAACTCTTGCACGGTGCCTTAGATTGCCTGCATGTCGTGCCTGTTGACTACTACCGTTGGCTTCCAAGGAAGGCAGCAGGAGTGCAAATTACCCATTCCTGACACGAGGAGGCGGGACGCCTCCAAAGGGCATGTTTGGACATTTCACCATCAAATCCCATCGATCCACGAACCAAAACAAGTCAAAAAAATAATTCATTAATCGAACGTTGGCAGGGGCCTCGAGAAGAGTTATCTTTTTCGTTTAATAGTCATAATTTTTTAAATAGGCACATCTGGCCGAGGCACGTGCAATGGTGTAAGGAAGCCAGGACGGGATGCTGGGAATGGACATGATGTGCGGGCAAACCAAGGCAACGTGCCCCACTTGCCTAGCCGTTCTTGATAACATCGTGCGGGCATAAAACACTTGTCGGCGATGCGCTCCTAAACTTAATTGGTCGGGTCGTGCCTTCGGTGCTGTTACTTTGAAGAAATTAGAATGCTCAAAGCAAGCTTATGCTCTGTATACATTAGCATGGGATAACATCATAGGATTGAATGACATTTGTACATGGGTTAGTCGATCCTAAGAGAAGGGGGAAGCCTATCAGATAGCGTATTTACGAGGAAATGGGCACGACATACGAGGAACTAGCTATGTGGAGGTATCCCTTCGTGACCAGCTTCTTAGAGGGACTATGGCAAGATGGTTGCCCAAGCCCGAATAGCGACCAAATGTGCCTAGAACATGGTGATGCAGGTCATGCATCGAGGCATGTGCCAACGGCCCTTGAAAATCCAGAGGACTAAGTGCCTCCCATGCCCGATCGTACTCATAACCGCATCAGCTCTCCAATGTGAACAACCTCTGGTCGATGGAACACAACCATGACACGAGGAAACGAGCATGACATGCAAACAACAAGCACAACGTGCATCTGCTCTTGTTAAGCATTCTCGTTTGTCCAAAACGATCGTCAAAGTGAAGAAATTCAACCAAGCGCGGGTAAACGGCGGGAGTAACTAAGGTGCCGTTTACCAAACGCTTACTCGGATAAGCGCTTACCAAGTCACTTTACTTTACCGGATGAATATGGCAAAAAATAAAAATCTTATCCGGTAAGAGCGAAGTCAAGAATCAAAAGTCTTACCCGGTAAGTGAGAACGAGGACTCTTACCATGGTTAGCGCTTACCCGGATAAATTGTTGCATACGATACGTTTTGGTGAATAAAATTTTATCCGGTAAGAAAGTGATAATATTGAACTTTACCGGTAAGTGCTTACCGGGTAAGTGCTTAGGTAAACGGCCCCTAAGACTCTCTTAAGGTAGCCAAATGCCTCGTCATCTAATTAGTGAAACACGTCGTAGTGTCTAAGATGCATGTGTTCAATTTAGACAATGAAACTCAAATTGTTGGTGCAGTTAAAAAACTTTCTTTTGAACTCTGATGATGCACAACTAGTCATTATTAAATATATCATAATATTTAGGCATAAAATAAATGTGTGATTTATTTTGTAATTGAAAAAAGAATATTATTAATGATCACGAAAGGTGGTGTGAGAATAAAAATTAAGTTTAGAAATGTAAGAATAGATCTGGACCATTGATTTCTTTTAATCTCACCACACTCATAAATTGATACAAAAATTGATCCGATATATCTCGATTCATCTCATTACTATTGATCTTCGATTAGAATTAATACAAAAATACAAATCTTTTAATATTCTTTTAACCATAAATTTTATTTTCACCCAGAATCAACCTATAATATTAGTGTGAATTTAGCAAGGTCCAAGCAATTTTAAATCTAAAGGGCGGTTCCTCTTAAAATGAAAAAAGAAAAATAAATAAATCTTAAAGGATGGGCCAGTGCAGATAACAACTGATTGATTGCGTGCGGCTCACAGTAGCAACCACCAATCTATGACACGTCAGCAACACCAACGGATTAACCAACGTTGATATCTCCCTCCCTCCCTCCCTCCCTCTCTTCTCTATCCAAACACACTCATCTCCAAATCCTCCTGAAATGGATGTCTTCATCCTAAAACCCAATCAACATCCACTATCTCCGTCCTTCACTTCTTGTATTTCTCCGACTATCTCTTTACGCCCACAATTCTTTGGTCCTGAATTTCGTCGTCCTTCTCGACGGAGAAAATGTTGCGGCCTAGGGTTGGGGTTGGGTGTTCAGTTTCATTCTCCATCTGTTGGAATAAGGAGGAGGTTTGTGTTCAGAACAGCTGCGGCTTTGGATCCACAAACGGTTGTTGTTGTTGTCTCCTTTGTCGCTGTTTCAGCCCTCACCGTCTTCTATTTCAATTACTCCAACAAAAAGCATGATGATGGATCTAATAAGGTAATTGAGCTAAATTAACAATAATTAATTGGCCAGATTATATTGTATTTTTGTTTTAATATAAGTTTAAACCACAAAGGTATCCTCTACGATACTTGAACAGTTTAGCCAGTGGGTGGGGATGAATGCCACAATTGAAAGCAATTTGGATACACTCCCAAGGAGTCCGATCTGATTTCCATCCTCATAGTAGCTGCTATGAGACATATTCATTGTCAAAGCAAAGTATACTTGACTTGTTTGTGAGCCATAGCATGTTAACACTGAACTGAACATTAGTTTTCAGTAAATTTTGACAATAGTGAAGTTTATAGGACGTGATTACTAGTAGAAATATCCATTAAGCTGGCTTGATTCTAGAAACTCAAAAAATTAGCATCCTGATTTGGGACTGAGGTATTACATTGTGTAGTTATGAGTTTATGTCTTTCTGTAACACCCTATTTTCATTATAGTATTTCTACCGAAATTTCGGCATGACCTATTTGTAAAGTCATCATATACCTGTTTCATAACATGTGAATTATATATATGTACCGACACAGATCCCAAAATAGAAGTGGTTATTAGCACCGCGTACGCTAACTACTATTTACAACCATACACAAGATGTGTTACTATGAAATCCATTGAATGCTATCTTGTAAATAGGGTGTTATACTTTCACTATACTTTTATGCTGTTGCATATTTCCTTTCCTGATATTTGATCTTTAACTGCCAGTGATCCATGTTTTATAGTTTGGAGTGCAAAATTTTCAGAATATTTGCATTGGGAATGTAACAAGGCTTTCACAACCACACGCATACATATAGTAGTTATATGGTTTATTATTCGATTTGATTCTGATTATTATGACACTAATATCATCAGTTTGATATGTACTCATATGGTCAAGAAATGGTATAGTTTAACTTTTAAAATAATGAAACTAATTTTCAAATTCTAAACTAATATTCTTGGCTTCTTTTTGTCTTTATGCAAGACTAGCAAGTGATTTTTGTATATCTTATGCAATTGATTGATTCTATTAAGTCCATTCATCGGTTGTGCATAGGCTCCGGCCTCTTCCTCTAACCGAGCCACTACTTTCGTGTGTGTAATTCATGGCAGTTATTTATTATGGAGMGACTCTCTTTCTTGGATTTTCTTATACGAAGTAGCAATATTAGTTAGATCCAAATAAGTTGAAGATTATTTTCATAATAAAATCAATTTAATTGTTTTTGAACTTGGGAGATGTCAGAATATAAACCTGCATTTGGTTTTTGGCATGTCTTATTCGTTCCTTCGTCTTTTCTGAGGAAGTTTTATTTGCTCAATCCTTATGTCAGAATTATTATCTTTTGTGGAAATATAGAAGGCAACTTGTTTTTGTCTTTTAATCAAAATAACTTTCTACAAATAGTAATCAGTGATGCATCTTTTAAAAATTGATTTGAACTTTGTTGTGGTTGCTTGACCTTTTGGTGGCCATTTCTTATTGACATATTCCAGACCTAATGTCCTTCCATATTAGAACCCAATTCTTAGTTGTTCTTTCTGGCAGTTAAGAGAAATGAGAATTCTATCTGCAATCCAAAAACGGAAAGGAAAAGGAACTTGAACTTTACATACATTGCAAGTTTCTAATCTTGATAGAAGAACACGATTGTTTTTTCTGTATTTCATTTAATTCCTTAAAAAACAGCAAGTGTTTTAGATTAGTGGAAAATCTGTTTACTGCAGCCAGCTTCTAATGTTTATCCTGTTTCTGCAGATATCTAAGCGGCTTGATCATACGAATTCTCAACAGGTCTCAAGTATCCTAAACCATACCTATGATGAACAAAACTCATCTAATGTTGGTCTCCAAGGTGAGAACTCTAGTGGAGGGAGCAAATTTATGGTGAAGGAAGCTAACAACATTAGCCATGATTTTCCTGATGAACGAGCACAGGTGCAGTACAATGAAACAGTTTTGTTTTACGAAGAAGCTCTAAAAACAGGCACATCAGTCTCTTCTGGTTGCGACACCATTGCTTCTAGCATTATAGAACCTTCAGCATCATCCGAGGTTAAATCATCTTTCAAAAGGGATTATGTTATGTTGGAATCATCTTTTGAGGAACCTCCTAACATAACAGTATTATCATCTCCAGAATCACATAGTGTGCTTCTTGGATCAGGTGATGTATTGTGTATTCCTCCCACAGAAAGAAATGTTGTCTGTTTTGATGAAAAACATAAAACTGAGCATGATTCTGAGCTGCCTAAGCTAATGGTGGAAACTGAATTAATTGCTGCTTCTGTTCCTGCAAACAGTAAGGTGGCAGGAGGTAATGTTATACTAGAGAAAAACTATGTGCTCACTAAAGAACGTGATGTGAGCAGGTATAGTTTTGCAGCTATGAAGTCCACCTACAAGGGGTTACACTCATTCTATGAGGCAAATCACTATGCAATGAGTTCAATGGAAAATCTTAGTAGTACAGCAAGGCCTGGGATATCCTCGTCAGGAAATAAATGCTTTTCTTCGCGAGCGAGTAGTTCCATATCTCAAAGTGAAAGATTTTCTGCAAAGGACTTTCTTCATGCTGCAGGTTATAATTTAAATAGGGTCGACATTTTAGGCCATTTATGTTTGTTTTTTTTGGCCTATTTTTATTTAAAAGCCTCAAACATGCCCCTTTTGCTCTCTATTCTCAGTTAGTAACTTGACATGAGAATTTAATTTATTTCCCAGAAAAGTTTGAGGCTAAGTTACCTCTTGGAAAATCTGAAACTGGCCCTCTTGATGGAAGAGGAGACTTCTGGAAGAAAAGAGTCTCTTGCACTGAAAAAGAAAAAACTATGCTGACTAAGGATGATCTGAAACATTTGTTCCCCACATCACAACTTAAAAAACAAGGAAGCAGCAAAGATTATCCCTCACAGCAGTTACGTGCTTATCATCGCTTTCTCAAAGAGGGCAGGTAAACACCCTTGTGTTGTTAATTTATACTATAACTGTACTACTTTCATTTGGTAAAGTGCCACCATTGCTAATTCACTCAATTAAAAAGTTTATTTTACATTAACAGAGGCTTAGCTTGCTGCACTTTTAAATTAGTTGATATTTTAGTAGTTGTTTGAATGTTGCAAGCATTTTTAGTAACTATTTCCCAAATAAGCTAATACTTGTGTGTATTTGAGGTTCATGTACAATTTATTTTCTTTGTTGTAGGTTAACTGACTGCTTAGAAAGGCTTGAATATCTGGAAAGAAAAGGTTTATTAGACATGAATAATGTAAGGATGCCCCTTTTAGCCCTTGATTGGATTGCCATCATATCGGTTTCATTTATAGCATACCTTACTAAGTTTGGATAAAGGCTTGATTTTTGGGATGAATTTGCATCATTAATGCTATAAAACATCATGGTTTTAGGTTTATCATATGGGGTTTCTCCGGGTGTGCAGAAGTCAGAAAGCTGTGAAGGAAGCTTTCCGTTTTATCAATCTCATTCCAAATCCGACCTTGAGCACATTTAATATGCTTATGTCTGTTTGTGCATGCTCTCAAGATTTAGAAGGTAATTATTTTATATAACTTTCTTGTTGTTAGGATTATACATTGATTAAATTGGAATATGCAATTAATTCATCTAGTTACACTGTCATTATCTTCTTATTTTCATGATATCTTGTATTTTAGGAGGTTTTGAGGTTTTGCAACTTGTCAAGAAAGCTGGATTTAAAGCTGATTGCAAACTCTATACTACTCTGATATCTACTTGTGCTAAGAGTATAAAGGTCGATACAATGTTTAAGGTATGAATTCTTTTCTTTTCCCGTTATATTTTCTCCAGCTATGTTATTTGGCATTGTGGGAGTCTCGAGATGCAAGATGCTTTTTGTGGTTTTGAAAAAGAGATTGCTGTGATGTATCAATTTGTATATTTATTATTTTTTTAAGATCCAGAAACCTCACCCATGTGATTGGTAGTCTATGTGCCAAACATGAGCACCTGTAGGTCGGATCCACATTATAGTTTTCCTTCTCCTGACAAGAATATTGAACTACAGCTCATATATTTTCATAGGGATATATATGCATATAATAATCATATACTAGTTTTTATTACATAATTTGTTGTGCTGTTATAGGTTTTCCATGAAATGGTCAACCTTGGAGTTGAGCCAAATGTTCACACATATGGTGCACTTATTGATGGTTGTGCCAAAGCTGGGCAAGTGGCCAAAGCATTTGGTGCCTATGGAATTATGAGGTCAAAGGTATGTAAATGAAGTTCTCCCTGTACCCATATTTTTTTAGATTTCAACATCTTGTTACTTTCATTTCCACTCCCTCTGCCACCATTCAATTCTTCGCACTAGGAGTAGCTGTAACTTAGCAATTCGATTGTACCCAGATGGAAAATGGCCTTCTAGCACCTTTCCCATAGGTTGAATGGCTTCCTAGATAGGGAGTACGAGCGATAGAATCACGAGTTTCCTGTTTTTATTGTCCTTATAGAGTTGATTACTACATGCATGCAGTAGAATGTGAAGCCAGACCGAGTTGTATTCAATGCGCTTATCAGTGCATGTGGTCAATCAGGAGCAGTAGATCGAGCATTTGATGTCTTATCAGAAATGAGGTCTGAGACACATCCTATTGACCCAGATCATGTCACAGTTGGAGCCTTGATGAAAGCATGTGTGAATGCTGGTCAGGTTAGATAATTCTATTTCTTAATTTGTATATCTTCAGCTATTTCCTGTCTGCAATTTGTTCCAGTTGACATTAGACATTGGATTCTTTAGGTTGAACGGGCTAGAGAGATATATCATATGATTCAAGAATTCAACATCAAGGGCACTCCTGAAGTTTACACCATTGCTGTTAACAGTTGCAGTGGAAATGGTGATTGGGAGTTTGCATGCAGTGTCTTTAACGATATGACAAAAAACGGGGTCATCCCAGACGAGGTATATATCTTTCTGAGTTGTTGACATTGTGTTCCTGATCTTTCAGAAATATTTATAATGAAGACCTTTTACAACAAGGGTTCAGAAGGAGATTTTTTCCTTACTCTCTGTAGGTTGTTTTTCTCATTGTTTGATTTGTGTTCAACCTTTATCTCTTTTAGCAACATTATGTTGCTCTTTTTTGTTAAATTTTGGTTCATTTGTATCATTTGAGACTATCGAGTTCCATTTTTTAGAGGATCAGTGAAAGAACTTCAAATCGGATTAGATAAAAAGAAATATACCTGAAATGGTTAAAGATTAACAAGAGCCTGTAAGCAAGTCAGGAGTTCCACTGTAAGATACTGTGTAAAGGAGGGAAGCTTGGGTTAAGTGTCTTGCTTTGCGCCTCACAAGGATAACTAAATAGTTTTGTCACATAAGTTAATTAAAGCATGACTGAATTATCCCCTTAATTTGACTTTGAGTTCCATGAATGCTTATCAACATTTAATTTCTTCTGTTTGCAACCAAAAGAAAAAATATTACCTGGGAGTTACACTCATAAATTCTCCTCTTAATCTTCTTCTCCTTGACAAGAGAACTCTTTGATGGGTTTCATGCTGCCATAAGATATATATTGCTGAGTTGAAGGAACTGCATAAGAAAGGCACTTTGTGGAAGAAAATATTATCTAACCAGAAGGATAATAGTTAGGCCAGGATCAAAATGAAAGAGGACTACTACTGTTTCAACTTTTTAACACATAAAAGGATGCTCACAAGAAAAATCTCAATGTGCCTTTCTTTTCCCCTATTGTGAATCATTAATGATAAATAGCTAATCAGAGTAGGTCGAACCTAGAGCCAACACACACTAGGTGCTATTCTGCTAGAAGGTGCTGGAGCTGTGATTGGTGAGCACGCCAAGGGCCTAGGTACAATCTTTGGTTTGCTTCAAAAACTATAACCCTGTGTTTTAAATTATAATGGTATTCTCAGTTCTATTATTTAATGATGAACTGGGGTCCAGAAGCATGATTCTTTGGCATCACATGTTGTTTTTCTAGTATTCTATCATTATTATTCCCAGTTCTATCACTTAAATGCCATTTTGTGTGAGTCATGCCTGCAACATAGATGCCTTTTCTGTACTAATCCAGTCGATCTGAAATTGAGAAAGAGTATTGCTAATCATATTGAAAATTGTTTCTGAAAGTGTCATCTAAACATGCATCCTGAATTTAGAACAGTTTTTACCAAATTACTGGGTTTTGTTTGCATCTCCTTTCAATTTATCGAAGAACATCTCTGTATAACTCTTGAGATGATTCTCCATTTCAAGAAAGCAGACATTTTAATATATTGGGTTCATCTAGATGACTATTTTTATATCATCTTTGTAATGTTCCTTGCGGTGATCAGCTGGAGACCATAAACATCACAATTGTGAAGCTATGTCAGGATCCACAGGATTTACATGATATTTCTGTTTGAAGTTGGTGTGTGAAAACTAGAATCTGACCCTCTCAGAGAATATAATTTAATATGTTTTGTGCAAAAAAATCATGCATACTCATACTTAAAGTTGTTGAGAACTGTGTAGCATGCATGTGTGTGTGTATATATATCTATATCTATGAATAAAAGCATGGTATGCAATAGGTCTTCTTGATATTGTTATTCTGCTTTACTTTGCACACAATTTTGTGGAACACTGGAGATCTTCATCAAAATTTCTGTTTTTATAAGTGAATCCTCAGAAGTGTTCTCTTTTTCTTGCAGATGTTTTTCAGTGCATTGATGGATGTGGCAGGGCATGCTGGGAAGCTGGATGCTTCATTTGAAATTCTACAAGAAGCCAGGAAGAGGGGAATAGATGTGGGAATCATATCATATAGCTCACTGATGGGAGCATGTAGCAATGTATGTTGATCGTATCAAGTCTTCATTCCTTTTGCTTTTATGTCATCAAAGTTTCAAACTAAACGGAAGCAAAACTTGCACATCCAAAGTTTCTTTGATTTTTAAATTTTTATATATCAACTTTCCTTTTGTCAGTTGCAGATCAGCAGTGCTTTTTCTCTACTAGTGGAATATCTTACCACTTAGTTTTTCTTCCAGATGCTTGTTGTTGACAGTGAGAGCCAGTTGGTTAGAGTGTCGGATGTCCTTTATGGTTATTCTTCTTACACTGTAGGCAAAACCATACCCTTTTTTTTTTGGGGGGGGGGGGGGGGAGGGTTGAAACACCGATTGATGCACCCCTGATTCATTGGGAAATGCACAAGAGTGGAATTTGAACTTAGGACTTGTAGGTCAGATAGAGCAACCCCAGAAAGGCACCATAGCTCTTATACTTTGTGTTAGACCATTCTCTAAAATATCTAGTTTAAAGTGGAAAATGTTCATGAGCATTGTGCATAGATATATTGGGAGATATAGTCCTATAATGCTTACTCAAAATAGTTATTACTACATATCAAGGCACATCTATACAGCAAAATTACATGAAATTATGTTGTTCTTTAGTATCAGGCCCTTTCTTGTCTGAACCAAATTATATTCTGTAAATATTTGTAATCAATGTAAAGAAAGGTGAAAAGAATAAAAAGGACAGTGCTGAGGGATTCATTGTCTGTGCAGTCTGCTAAGACAGTCTTACCAGTTCACAATAACCATGTTTTCAGTTTATTCTTCTTGATCCTGCAATTTAAAAAAAAAATCCTTGCTTTTTCTATTACATGGAACTAGTTCTAACGGTGTTGAAATAATTGCAATCCACATGCCCAGGCAAAAAACTGGAAGAAGGCACTGGAATTATATGAATATGTCATTAACTTGAGGATGAAACCAGCGGTGTCGATGATGAATGCCTTAATTACTGCTCTGTGTAAGTGCAATTCGCTTCCCCACTTCCACATGGATAATCATCTTATGGTGACTAATGAAGTTACAGTGGTCCTTCCAGCTTCAAAGTTGTTTTATTATGTACTAGTACTATATTCATCACCCTTACCTAGTGCTGAATTTTAAATTATATCCTATTTTCCTACTTTCTTTGTTGATTTAACTGTACCCTTTGTAGAGTGTAAAGGTTGTAAAGCAGCACTCTCCTACAATCACTAAACTTGTATTGGAAAATTGGAATGATGGGGATACTGCATATCATTATTCAGCAGTACAATCACTTATCCTTATATATTGTTGTTTCTGCCTGTTTAGATGTTACATAAACATGTTCATCATCGCTGCAGAACAGTAGAGAAATAGTAAATGTAGACAAGGCAGGTGATAGGACCTGTGAAGTTGTTACTTTGGTAATGTCTCATTATTGTGGATGTTGGTGAGCATGCACATACATAGGGGTTGTCTGCTCTGTGGAATACTTCATGATGAATAGTAATGAAAACTCCACATTCTTATATGTGTAGGCTCCACTGGGTGACTCTACATGAGCTTTGTGTGGAAAAGAACTTAAACATCACTATCTGTTGTGTGGTATCACAAACATGCTATATTCACGCACAGGCAGACACATATGTATATGCATGCATGCATGCATCTATGTTCTATACAGTTAGAAACCTAGATACAGAAACTCTTAACAATATTAGCTCTGATATTTAGAGGCTGACTATACTCCATTGCAACCACAAGGGATGGCCTATTGGTATACAGCTTCATAATGTGGGAGACCACTGGCTCTACTCTTCCCATGTACTTGGTAGTTAGTTCAAATAATTTCTAATTTACTGAAGTACATCTGATGTGAATTTGGGAGGTGGGGTTGGGTGGTTGGGGGACTAGCCATCGCTTGCACAAGGTACTGGCTTATGGGTACCTGAACTGATATCTATTTTTGGAACTTCTCTTGTTTGTTTGTCTGAGATGACTGGACAAAACCTTGGAAACCATATAGGTTTGGCTTGATAGTATATTATGAGAAACTGTTGTTGACATGCCAAACTACATTATTCACAAGATGGAAGTAAATTTTGCATGTAGTTTTTGTTGTTGCATAACGATAGCTACTTCTGTATGAGATCTTTTTCTGTACGATTATATTTCTAACAACGCACAGATTGATGAATTTGCAAAATCTGATGCTGCAGGTGACGGAAATGAGCTTCCTAAGGCTGTGGAAATTCTGTCAGAAATGAAAAAGTTGGGCTTATGCCCAAACTCCATCACATACTCCATTTTATTGGTGGCAAGTGAAAAGTAATTGCCAAAGAATACTTTTTAGTCTTCATTACATCCTCATGAATGGGTTTATCTGAATATTGTGATTGTGTGAGTTCAATACAGAAAGGATGATCTTGAAGTTGGTCTTATGCTTCTTTCTCAAGCAAAAAAGGATGGCATTTCCCCAAATCTTATAATGTGCAAGTGTTTGATTGGTAAGCTCTTGTGTTTGCAATTGGATTTTCATATAGTGTTCTTAAATTATGGACTAGTTGGCAGTTTTAATTTCAAGCACAACATGATCAAAACAAGGGTGAAGCCAAAATTTCTCTCAAGTGGCATGCAGATATTTAATAATGAACAAAAATTCATGACTTTACAATTTCCACTTCTCTTTCTCTGGTGCATGAGTGTATGACTGTGAACTGGTATTGTTCAAACATCTGATATTGTCATTGGCATTATTATTATGCTACTGGTAGTGAATTTATGGCATTTCTGGGATATCAGAAGAGTGCTTATCGTGTGTTTTTTGAAGCAGCTTAGTTTTTTAGCATATCAGATTGTTCATCATTTTTACTGGCATCTCGTCCTGTTTTTTGCATTATTTAATTATTATGGCCTGTAGTTTATATTACTAGTTATTACTTTATAACTTTATTTAGCAGCCAGATGAATCAGATTTTTATTTCAATTGATTCTCCCTAATGTGTGATCTTGAAGCATTGTGCTACCGGAGATTTGAGAAAGCTTGTATGGTTGGGGAACCCATTTTGTCTTTCGACTCGGGAAGGTTACTGATAGACAGCGAATGGTAAACCTCTTGTGGATTACTATAATTTTATAAGATATTCTTTTATTTTTATTGGGATAGTAAATACTACGAAGTAGATGGGAACATATTTTTAGATCAATCATTCTCACCATATGATTGAAGGCATGTCTGTTAAACAAGATTGCTAGATTGTCATCTAAATTGCTTCCAAATTTGCTGGTTTGTTGAGATATACACAAGTGTTGTACAAAGTAATGATGTTTAATACTGATGAGTTTAGGAAGATCATTGAAAATGAATTGGAATTACAAATAAATGGAAACATTGTAGCTTAATGAAGTTGCATTTACACCTCTGATTATGGAAGTGGTATATCAGTTATATTTCATATATTTCTCTTAAACAGATGATAGGAAAGTAGCAAAAACACAACGTAGAAGAATAAGTGATTCACTTACGAATACCGACCATGCCAATACAATAGGTAATCCTCGATTAGGGAAGGAGCAAAACCATCATATACTGCAATTAGGATAGAATTGCTTTAGACATCACCAACTAAAGGCATCAAGCTTATGGAGCCCAAATTCATTTTGCAATTTCTTTCATGTTATGTTTGGATCTTAAAACTCCATAAACCTCCTCAAGGCTAAGGGCATCACAACTATATAGTATCATATCTCTAAAACCCATGTAAGAAGATGGTAGCAAACACACAAAATGATCTCCAAATCTTCTTCATACTTGACTTCTATGGTCTTTAAGTCAACAACAATCTTCTTAAACTTGGAGTTGTGTTTAGAAACTCATGATCCATCTTCAGATAGACGATGGGGGAACAACAAAACAACTTGTTTGGAGAACTCTTGGTCATGCGTAAGTGTTGTAACTTGACCAATAACTCCATTGTGGTTTTTTCCAATAAAACATCTTGTAAGACATCGTTAGACAACTGGAGTTGGGTTTGCATTAGTGCCTTAAGATCTTACTTTTTTTATTTCTTTTCATATGGCCAGTTGGTCGGAGTTCTATCTGATCCCAACAAAGCTTCCTCTAAATCTATTTCTACTAATACATCTCTAATATTTACTTGTCATAAGATGAAGCGAATGTTCCTCTCTAACTTTTGAACATCATACTTCGTGCCAAAATAATGAAGACTAGCAAGTAGAATGCAAAACCAAACTATCAATCCTGAAAACTCTGATACCAATTGTTATGAACACGGGTGCACTAGTAATAATACTAGTCACAACAATGCTTCAAATTCAAGTATGCAACCAAGGCACCAATCTAGTTCCAAATAGCAAGTAGTGCCCACAAAGAACCTCGATTTGAACATATAACCGGAATATGGTTTTGTTTTAAAAATGCATATAGTCTACAACATCCAAACATGACAATAAATATAAAAAAGCATCATGAAGTAAGTAGGGAGAGAAGTCTTCACTGAGATTTACGTGGAAAACCCAAAACGGGAGAAACTGCTGAAAGAGGAGCTGAGAGAATCCACTATCACAATGCTGGTGCAAGAGTAAATGTGGGTTCAATGTACTTACCATGAAGGTTAAGAGTAATGGTTTGTGTATGAACAATTGGATTATTGCTCTATAAGGGTTAGTACCAATTGTGCCCTAGTTTGGAACTAAAACCTCGTCATTGGTCGAAAGCATTTTAAGTTGATCTGGAAGGTTGCACAACATCTTGTCCAGTTTCAGATTCACATCTGTATGCAACTCCATAAGCATATTGTGAAGTCTCTTGGATGTTAAGATGATTTAGTATGTGACTATGTGATCATGTCACTGCAATGTACCGTAACTTTCCCCTGCTTGATGTGACTTGTTGAGTGACTTTGGAAGTCGGGTTCACCCTAGTGGGTGAATTGGGAGGCATTTTCAACATATACGACAACTTGAGGGGGGGATAACAAATGGTAGCCTCAATATGTTTTTGTTGCATTCAATTGGTTTCTATTATGCCTACATTGTTTTGTTACTCCTAACAAAGAGCCCATCTTCTACATATATTACGAGTTCTTCTCTAAGAAAATAAGTATGTATAAAAACCCTCAACTTTACAGTGGAGAAAAGGAATTAGTGGGGTTATTGTTGCCCGTTGTCTCGGCTGTGCTACCGGAGGCTCTGGGGAAGTCGGAATAGGAGAGCACTCATCTTGGGGCAAATACCATGAGAGTGATCGTTCTTGATTAATATTCTCTCTCTTAAACAAAGATATGGCGCAGGGAGATAGGATTTCCTTTGTCAAACTTGAAAATGAAGATTTAAATGGACGTCTTGGAGTGTATGTCGTGCATTTTCTGTAGCAAACTTGAAAAGGAAGATCTAAATAGATGTCTTGGAATGTATGTCATGTACCATAATTGGTGAAGGCCAAAGATTCTGGTTTCAGCAATAAGGACGAAGAACTGAGAAGGAAGTAGAAAAAAGTCAACGATGAGAAAATGATCAGTTCTAACTTATCTTACTGCTGTTGTTAGTGATGGTGACTTAAACTATGTAAAAATAATAAAAAGGTGCACTGGATGGACAAATGTACCCCTAAACTGACCAAGTGCGTTTCGTATGTCTAGTTTAGGGGTACATTTGTCCATCCAGTGCACCTGTTTATWATTTTTACATAGTTTAAGCCACCATCACTAACAACAGCAGTAAGATATATCCAACCAAATCTTTGACCAGGTAACGGGATAATTCCCACTACCCCTGGCAGGCCAACCAGGACCAGTCAAAACGGCTAGTAAGAAAGAAAGCTCGCTAATCGTCCAGGGGTACATTTGACCAAGTGCGTTTCGTATGTCTAGTTTAGGGGTACATTTGTCCATCCAGTGCACCTGTTTATTATTTTTACATAGTTTAAGCCACCATCACTAACAACAGCAGTAAGATATATCCAACCAAATCTTTGACCAGGTAACGGGATAATTCCCACTACCCCTGGCAGGCCAACCAGGACCAGTCAAATCTGGCTAGTAAGAAAGAAAGCTTGCTAATCGTCCAGGGAGTATTTATGTAACTTTAACAATACAAACTAAAGATAATACGACGTATCCATTTCAGTTGTCTAGATGCTGCATCTGCGGAGTTATTCTGCATTCCTTAAATATCGAACCTTGATTTCTATCCAGTACACCTTGATTACAAAAAAAAATTCTTGGCAAAATACTGAACTTATGCAGAAGGAAGCTACTATATAAATGCTTGTGAAAAAGAGAATATGGTTGAACCACAAAGTCCGATTAATGTTTTGGTGCTTTCTGGATAATGGTTTCATGGTCGGATTTTTTTATGGGGAGGGGTGCGTAGAGCAGCTCCTGATTTGATCTTTTGCAGGACAAGATTGGTCTTGATGGTATATAGAGAAACAGTTAATGCTGGTGCAGTCCCTACGATAGAAGAATTATCGCAGGTCCTGGGATGCCTACGGCTTCCTCAAGATTCATCCTTAAAAACCAGACTGATCGAGAATCTAGGAGTAATTGCTGATACATCAAAAGGGTCAAATCTCTGCTCTCTTATTGAAGGCTTTGGGGAATATGATCCCCGTGCGTTTTCTTTGCTCGAGGTTTGCATACAATTAGTTTTCTGGTGTCTTTTTTTGGCTTTGGTTTTATCTCTTACATTACCTTTTTCATTTCAGGAAGCTGCTTCACTTGGAATTGTTCCTTGTGTATCGTTAAAAGAAAGTCCGATAGTTGTGGATGTGACAAAATTACCAATATATACAGCTGAGGCGAGCACTTTGAATCCTTGAATTTTCCTTGTCTAAATACATGTCTATGTTTGTTATTTTTTGTTTTGCAAGCTGAGGGTCTTCACGAAAACAGCCTCTCTATTATCTGTTCATATACATGTCCTTGCTTGTTACTTTTTGTTTTACTGATCGAGAATCTGGACTGGTTAAGGGAGGGCCTTTTCTTCGGGGCGTCAACTGAGGATTGGTCCCTGGTCATCTTTACTTTGGAGCACAGTCATTGCCTTCACCACCTTCTGATTTAGAGGCTGTTTATCAAATGCTTACGGGCAAGAATCACCACCTAATTTACCTTATAGGGTAACATTGTCCATAAAAATAGATAAATGATAACGTTTATATCCTGGTAAACATTTACCGGGTAAGAGTCATCACCCTCACTTACCGGGTAAGAGTCATCACCCTCACTTACAGGGTAAGACTCTTGATCCTTGCTTTCCCTCTTACCGGGTAAGAGTCCCAGTTCTTTTTGTGCACCTAATAAAGTAATTGAACCGGTAAGTGCTTACCAAGGTAAGTGTTTAGTAAATGTCCCCTTAAGAGACATCTATATCCCTTTCAGATATGTCCAGTCCTTTGTTCCTCCAATGGGATTCAAGGATTGTGTAAACACGTTGTAATCCTTCCGGTTAGTAATAATATCAATCCCTCTCCCTGTGGACGTATACAGTATGCTATTACCTGATGGTGGCACCAAGTTAATTCTGGCTGTCCTGAAATTAGTATTTGATCGTACATTGCACTGTGGACTGCTTGTTTATGTTTGTGGATCGATATACTTAATTGGATTGCCATTAGCAACATGTAGATCTTGTTTATCTGCATTTGTTGTATTGGGTCAGATTTGCATTTGGGTTTCTTTGATTATATTGGGACCGTGAGACCTTGTTATTGTGTTATTTGGCATTACCGACCCCTACATGTGTATACTAAATATAATATATCTTATATTAAACAGAAATGGCTGATGACAACTGTCCCGATCATAATCCCTTTAATTAAAGTAGTGAGTTGACACCTATTATTGGATCTAAATCAATGGACACTTGTGAGCCATGAGACGTTTATATACTTGTTTTTTACATGGACAATACATCGAAAATGGATTTAAAAAAAGTACATGTATGGACATAATCTCACAAAAGGACGCCATGTTAGCTACTACCTGGCAAGTAAAACAGGCAAGATGTGACAAAAATTGAACCCACTTTTTACCTTCTAACTCTCCCCCTAATCTCTCTCTCTCTCTCTCTCTCTCTCTTATGTGTGTGTATATATTTCTCGTTAGATTCTGTTTTGATTTTTGGTTTTATCAAAAATCCTCAGGTTTACTTCTTGACGGTCTTGAAGGGTCTTAAGCATCGACTAGCTGCTGGTAATGCCATCCTCCTTTTATTTTTTATTTATCTAGTTTCTGAAGGTTAAAATGCTTCAGATAAGTAATTAAAACTAAAATCTGTAAATGCTTTCTGTTTAATTTTCATCTGCTGATAATTTCATTACATACCTCGTACATCCTTAAGGGAGTACTGATGGAGCCCCCTTCTAGCCAAAGCAGGAAATCACCTGATTTTAGTTCAAGAGGGTACAAATGTACAATAATGCTAATAAGGGGCCGTTTACCGAACACTTACCCGGATAAGCGCTTACCAAGTCATATTACCTTGTCGGATGAATATGGCAAGGACCAAGAATCTTACCCTATAAGAGCGAAGGCAAGGAACAAGAGTCTTAACTGGTAATTGAGGGTGACGACTCTTATCACAGTTAGCACTTGCCGGGTAAGTTGTTGCATACGATACTTTTGGTGGACTAAAATCTTATCCGGTAAGTAAATGATAGTGTTGAATTTTTCCGGTAGGCACTTACCCGGATAAGCGTTTGGTAAACTGCGATAATGGGGAATGCCAAAATCCATTACTTGTATACAATCTTCCCTTTTGGTTAAAATCATTTCGTAGCTGTTGGATCTAAAGTGTGTTCTAGTTTTTGCTTTTATTGATGGACATGCTTTGTGGGTTTGAACATACATAGACTCATACACATAAAATAATAAAGTTGTCAATGCATGATATCTTGAATTCTTCGCATTTCTATTGAACACTTAATCTGCGAGGAGCAATTTCAGTGGGGAGAGTATCGACATGGGGATGGAAGCCAACATTGGAAGGCAAAGGATACACCAAGAGTATAGTTTCAAGTATCTAGGTTCCATGATTCAGAAGGGATCCTGACATAACACATCACATAAAGAAATGATGGCTAAAGTGGAGGGCTGCCAGAGGCGCTATGTGACAAGAAGGTCCAACTATAGTATGGATTGGATGTTTGAAAGAAAACCAAACAAGGTTACTGGTTGCTGTTGGAGTTGCACACATCATAAGTAAGTTGAGGGAAGGAAGACCATGGTGGTTTGTTCATGTTCAAAGGAGACCGATGTTTACTCTGGTAAGGAGGGTGGAAAGTATGAGGTCGAGGGAGGAGGACTTGGGATGAGCCACTGAGGTTAGACATCATGACTTTAGGCATTTCTGAGGATATGACCTCTCATAGGAGTTCTAGAGACGCAAGATAAGGTTAACACTAACGGTTGAGCTCAGCCTCCTAGGAGATCAAAGGTTCAAACCTCACCAAAAGTGGGGAGTGTACATGAGTATTTCCGTTATATAAGTATTATGTACTTCAAATAATGATAATTCTAGCATATCAGGGGTGTGAATCTATATAGTTAGCCTAGACGAAAGGAAGAATCTCGAGATATAGAGAATGGAGGTCGGGTTAGTGAATCAGCAAATTAGACTAGTGGTGTATAGTTATTCTTATATTGGTTATGTTTTCTTATACTTGCTTCTATTTGTATGTTTTGATTGTTGTGTACTTGTACCTCATGTTCAAATTTTTACCTGTTTTTCTTATTTTCAAGTTTTTCTTCTGTTGTTTATCCTCAAATATTTTTAGCTAAGATCTATCCTTTATTTTCATACACTTTGCACAAGCCGAAGGTTTTCACATAAACAATGGTGGTTTCGTGTGGAGGTTGGGTCCTTATACATCGAGTGACATATTGGGTTTGTTTGGTTTAGTGAAGTTGAACTGACTCTTGTACCATTTGGTTGATTTTGGTTTGTACTAAATTGTGGGTCTTAAATTGCATTTTCAGGTGTAAAATTACCCAACATAAGCATCGTGCTACCTGTAGTAAAGACACAAATTGAGGGTGATAAAACAATGAATGTTGCAGGAAGGTGAGCATATATATCATATCTTTTCCTATCTTTTTAATTAATCATGGTGTCCTGATCATGGTCTAAAGTCCTAAATTAAAAATGTGAACAGAGTTACCCAGGCCATTTCAGCATTATTGAGAAGGCTAAGGATTTCATACATTGGAAACGAGTCATTTGGAAAAATCCGAATAAATGGCGTGGTTGTGAAGAAGTGGCTTTCACCCAAGCTTGCTATTAATTACGGTGGAAAACCAACAGATTATTATAACTACTCACGTTTGGGTAGAGGAATCATTAATCAGCAACGTCACATCCGAAGTGGCAATTTGTCCTACGAGTGATCATCATCTTCTGATAGATATATAAACATCATGTATGCCGATATCATCATGCATGGTCTATCCCTATTAATTATATATATCCAAGCTATATATATAGGTACAAATTTTGATATTGGTTTTTGTATACATGCAGTTTACCTCTAGGGGGAACAATAGGCCTTTGATGGTCAATAGCTAGCTAGAGAACATATATAATAACAAGGTTTAATTTAGGCTCAAGTGAATCTTGAAGGAGTATTGTAGCAGAATTACTATTACGATCGATGCTATACATATTCTCTATGATTAATTTTCTACTAGTTGTGTACCCGTGCAATGCGGCGGGAGCTATGAATTTAACGATTTTGAAGTTCCACTGGTTTTATAAGATAAGATTTAACGATGATATATAGGTTACACTTGGTCTTTACATATTAATACAATTTGAATAAATAAGAGTTATGGTTCCAATTACAGACTATCGATGAAAAAAATTGTATGACAGTTTAAAATCCAATATATTTAAAATCTAACATATTTAAATGACTCCACAAATGTATTCGATTTACACCAAGAGCAAAGAACCAAGAAACTTGAGTTTTAAGATAAACACTCAAAACCAATAAATAAAACTACAAATTTGACAAATCATAAGCCATGAAAAGACAAAAAAAATGGGTTTTAGAATGAAATTTCAACTGTCTACCCTCTTTCTTGTCCAGAAACTCAGATTAAGGTTGAATTAATACATGTATATATATATATATATATATATTTCAAAAAAACCCAAGAATATATTAGTTTAAAACATATTATACAGTGCAATTTGGACAGCCTAACCCCAAAATATATAGTATATATATAATAAATAATTATAAAAGTATAACTCGTAAATATTAAAAATATTTTTTCACAGTATATATAATATATAATAATATAATTAAGTCAAAAATTATTCAATATTGGACTCATTTCGAAGGTATTAACGAGACAATTATAATTGTGTAACTTGTTAAAATAAAAATATTTTTTAAACATGTTTTAATTGATATACGATTATATATGTTAATTTGATAAAGGTTTAAAATGAAACATTTAAAAGTAAAGAACGTAAAGTAAATTAATTAATTAATTATAGGAGTATAAAATGTAAATTTAAAATTATAATTTAAAAATTGGGTTGTGAGAGGGGAAGTGTATGTGAGGAGATGATGGGGTGAAAAGATGAAAAAGTGAGTATAAAGGGTATTTTGGTCATTTAGTATTTTAAGACTTTAAGATTTTTGCTAAATTTGTTTAATAAGATAGTATAGATTTAATTTTATTTCTTCATATATACTTGATTTCAACATTTCTATTAAACATAAATATATCTTTTAAACAACTAAACTTACGTTGAAAATTTTTCTTATTATAATATTAATACTATAAT